CAAAACTTTGATATTTTGAAAGTAAGAATAAAAAGGAGTCAAAACATCATTGTAATTCAAAATTAAATAATTGGCAAAAACAAGGAAAATACTTTAATCGAATAAACATAACATATGAATACAATTTTATTTAGAAATTATATATCTACACAACATTTTGTAAAAGAAAACCGAGATGTGTAAAATGCATTAGGAAACAAGCGTGTTTAGCAATAGTCCAGGAAAATAAGTATCTGTCGGGACACTGACCCAGCCAGGTTTCAAATGGGTTTTTTTGGGTACTTAATACCTAATATATTATAAATACAAAAATGCTCGTCACAGTTCGGAGGCAGATTATCCTCCTCCACGTTCCTTGAGCCCTAGTCAGGGCGTAGTAATACTCTAAATATATTAGTTTGCTATCTTCACTTTCAATCTTATCTTTCCCCTGACATTCAATGTTTATTCTTTTGGGTTTTACGCGATGTGCATTCTTTTTCTGCTGAATATATCCAGCCTTTTATTCCGTTCCACGTTTTATTTATGTCTTCTTATATTTGTGGAGTATTCATTTTTTAGTAGATGAGCAAAGGTTTAAAATGGCGATGAATGGATGAATGAATGAATATGAATTTTAGTCTGATCATTTGTTGCTTCGGAAATTGCAAGATAAAGCTAAAATTTCAAAAATCAAACATTTGCTATAACTTTTGTAAAAATGAATTTAGGAGTTTAATATTGTATGAAAAGTTGAGTAAAGTAGTGCTTATAATTCACCAAAAATTTTAAGTCGATTCGTCAATTAGTTTAAATTTTATTCAGTTTGTTTAACCCACAGAGCTTTTTTTTGCAATATTACTGCTCTGAAAATAATAATGATGAGCGGTTCTACGGGAACCATATGAAAGACAAAGACTTATATTTTCAATATATTTAAAAAAATCAATAAAAGTCATTTTTACCATTGCCAAAACATTTTACTAAAGAAGAGTAATTTTTTATTTATAAATAATTTGAATCACTTTGGTAATATTGACTGTATATTAAATCCTCTTTAACATTTAAATTCTCGTATTTTAAAACAAATTTTATATAGATAAAAAATATACTTAGAAATTAAAGCCTTGTGAAAGTATATTTCAAAATCGTAAGAACTTTCATACGGATATTTATATATACCTTATATATAAAATACACAGAAGATGGTGGTATATATGAATCTAGTTTAATAATAAAATAAAAAGATACAGGAACGCAATTATATCCGCAAAAACCTATCCAAGTGCCGACATAGAATCAGATTACAGCCAGCTAGTGACCAAAATTAGGCTCAAAATGAAAATAATAAAACGAAGAACAAACAAATGCAAAAATCGATACAAGTAAATTAAGGAACCCACTCATAAGGCAACGCCTGGCAGATGAAATCAACAACGGATTAATGCATGTTAAAGAACAAATTCTGCAAAACACTGAGAAGGAGAAAAAATGGTTATTAATAAAGACAGAAATAGATAAAAGTTGAAAAGAAATTCTAATACCAACCAGATATAAAAAGAAGTAATGGATGACGGAAGAAATTTTAGATTTAATGGAAGAAAGACGTCAATGTAAGAACAAAGATAATCAGATGTACAAAACAATGGTTAAAAGAACAATGCACAGAAATAGAAGAATACCAGAAAAGACATGATAGTTTTAACATACACGAAAACCGGGAATACTGAAAGATGTAAAATGGGAAACTTGTGTTGAATACTAACTACAAATTAAAGAGATGGACAGATTACATCAATGAACAGATGGAGATAGAAGTAGAAGAGAATATGGTTTTTAAAGATATGTAGATAAAATTAGTATCTACACAATAGGAGAAACATGCAGAATATCCTAAAATTATATAAAGAGTATAGATTGCTGGTTACAAAATATGAACACTGGTTCAAAAAGCTATCCAAAGGTACAAAAACGATTTAATATAGAGAAAAACAAATAGCATAAATAAAATCAGTAAAAATACATAAAGAACTAAACAAAAATCCTACTACTAAATACTACTTACTAGCCAAAAAGTCTTTCGAAAGTTTATGTGCACTATTGTCTATCCAAGTCGTTATCACGAAGATCCTGGATCAAGATATGCGGAGATGTGGTAACCATGTGTCAAAGGCCATCCAGAGACCATGCAAAAACTTCAAACAATTTCTAATTTATACAAAAAAAAGGCATCTACTGTATTATAATCAATAAGTATCTGTGATTATCAATAAGTATCTCCAAATCGTTGACCGATTTGGAGAGCACTTAACTACTACTACTTTTTGAGGATTAAATCCTTGACGGATTCTTAAGGACTTCTGTCCAACAGAGATGTTGCACCGTGCGGGACTAAAATTCATTCTGAGAGTAGGCGGGGTGCCTGATTTTTCGGTGAGTCTTCTTTTAAAGCACACAAAAAACTTATATACTAAAAACTGATACTATGACTAACAAGATACGATCTTCCCGTAGCACAAAATCGGTCGTGTTCGCGCATGCCGTCATTGGAGAGTAGAATTTGAATTCTTGTTAAAGTTAAATGGGATTTTTATGCATTCTGTGATGAAATTACTAGACGAAAATAAGTTAAGAGGTTTAATAATTACAATAATCGTACACATAAGGATATCTCCAAACTATTTATTAAAGATTATTTATTGATACATACAAAAAACTGACATTTCGATCGTCCAACTCTCCAATGACGTCACGATTTATGCGCAATATCTTAACTTCTTATTCATAGTATCATGCTAAAAACTATTGACAAATATTTTTGACAGATGTTTGACAAATTTTACAAAATTATATCATTTTTTTAGAGTGAGTGCACCTTTGTCAAAAGTGGAGTTAAATACTAAATTAAAAATATTAATAACTAGTTTTATATGTTCGAACGGATTTATTCGAACAAGATATTAAAAGAAGAAATTAAAATATCATTGAAAAACAGCAAAAATGGTAAAGCATTAGGTCCAGACCAAATCCCTAGAGAAATCTTAAAATGCATGAATGATGAAATCTTAGACATTATAGTAGACTTATTTAACTCAGTATACAAAACAGGACACATACCGACACAATGGTTACTCTTCACCTTTTATTCTATCCCTAAAAATACAAACGCTAAATATTGCAGTGAATACAGAACAATATCACTATAAATAAAAAACTGGAAGAAGGAATAGATAATAGTCAGTTTGGATTCAGAAATGGACTAGGAACCAGAGAAGCGTTATTTGCTTCTATTGTGTTAGCTCAAAGATGCATAAATATGTATGTTGATGTGCATGTTTGTTACGTTGATTTTGAAAAAGCATTTGACAAAGTAAGACATGAAAAATTAGTCCAAATTCTAAAGACAAAAAACATAGACCATAGGGACTTACGAATAATAACAAACCTCTACGGGAATCAAAGAGCACAAATCGTAATAGATAACGAACCCAGTCCAGAAATTGAAATCAGGAGAGGAGTTAGGCAGGGATGTATTATGTCCCCATTACTATTTTAATGTATATAGCGAAGCCATTTTTGAAGAAGCATTACTATCTCAAAGTGAAGGAATAATAATTAACGGAAGATCTATTAACAACATAAGATATGCAGATGACACCGTGATTATGGCAAGCTCTGCTAAACAACTACAATTACTGCTAAACAAAACAAACAGTTTCTGTGAAAAATATGGACTAAAAATGAATATAAAAAAGACCAAATACATGATAATAACAAAGAAAACAAATATACCAACAAACATATATTTGGGAAATGTACCGATAGTAAGGGTTGATAAATACAAATACCTAGGAACCTGGACTTCAGACAATAATGATCAAACAACCGAAATAAGAGCCAGGATAGAAATAGCAAGAAATGCGTTTGTAAAAATGAAAACAATTCTCTGCAACAAAGATCTTAGATTAGAACTGAGAGTAAGAGCACTGAGATGCTACGTGTTTTCGATACTGCAATATGGACTTGAAAGCTGGACATTGAAGCAAGAACACATAAATAAGTTACAGTCCTTTGAAATGTGTTACAGGAGGATGCTTAGAATAGCATGGACACAGAAGAAAACTAACATGGAAGTATTGCGAGAAATGGGCAAAGAATGCGAAATAATAAACAATAAAAATAAGAAAGTTACAATATCTGGGACACGTAATGAGGGGACAGAGATATGAACTACTAGGGCTGATAATACAGGAAAAGATAAGAGGAGGAAGAAGTATAGCAAGAAGGAGAGTGACATGGTTGAAGAATTTAAGGGACTGGTTTAAATGCAGTTCTATAGAACTCTTCAGAGCAGCAGTAGATAAAGTAAAGATAGTGATGATGATATCCAACCTCCGATTGGGAGACGACACTTAAAGAGGAAGAAGTTTAAAAATAATTTTCCAAAATTAAGCTGGGGAGATGATTATTGCTGTATCCCGATGTAAATCCAGCTATTTCTCTTGGCAGATAGAAGTTTTCCTTAGCCTCCAGTCTTTTATCTTAATGGGTCAAAATATTCATTTGTGATTTTTCCGGGAGTCGTTTTGGAAATAAACATAACATTTATCTTTTGTCCTATATTCCAAATAGAAAAAAATGGGTCTTCTTTTATAGGTTCAAATTTTTCTTCCTGAATATTGGTTTCCTTATTTTGCTCTTCTTCTTATGACCTTACTTTCATAACAGTTACTTTTTTCTTTAGAGTAAATTGCAAAATTAGTTATATTTTACATATATCTTCTTATTATGAATGTAGAATTTAAGTAATTCCCAAAACTTGGTGTCTCAAATAAGTCAAACCTATATGGTTTGACCCAATGGGGTAATTGATTTTAGTATTCATAGAATATTGTCTTTATCATGTCAGCCGTTTTTTAATGTAATGCCTATATATATATAATATATATATATATATATATATATATATATATTATATCATTATTACTAATTAGTTAATGTTATTGTCTTTTTTGTTGCAGGTAATAATTAATGGACAGGATTATGAAGGTAAGGTCTGCAATAATACTATATAGTTTAATACGAATGCTTTAAAAATTATTATTTCTTGTTTATTGGATTGCTATAGTCATTATTAAAGATTCGTATGAAAGTAATCATTTCAAAGAACTTCATATGTAGTACAGTGAATGAAGGTAAAAATCAACTATTACCTCTGATTTCGGTGAACCTCCATCGATTTGCATAAGTAATCTCGATTTAATAAACTTGATTTAGGATTTTAATTAATTTTTAAACCCTTTTAGCAACTATCCTTTAATAGTAATAAATAAAATCGAAAATCATGAAACATAATTTTTTATATTTCTGAAATATTAAATCGCAAATTAATATTACGCAAATAGTTTCTTTAATGTTTATGGTATAATTTTTGATTGTCTGTGAAATTTCAACCCTTAAAAACCACCCCCTTAAAGCAGAATCATTAAAAATATTAATTTCAAAAAACTTTAATTATTTGAATAATACATTACTGAATTGAAATCTCATTTACTGAGTATTACAGTATTTATTTATTTATTGCGTAATTTTTCACCCTTAAAAACTACTGGAAAATGCTTTTTTTATTAGCTTTAATAGCTTTAATCATTTAAAAACTTTTTTCTTAAAAATCCACTTAAAATCCACACATGTATATTTCGTGAGCATATTATCTTATTGAAAGTGCTTCTGGCTATCTCAATACGTCGTTTTTTTTCAAGGCTGCGATTTCATTGTTCATTGAACTCACATTACAAATAATTGTATTTGGGCACTTTCTCTGAAGCGTTTTGGCATAGTGCGATATCAAATAAAATTTGCAGCCCCTTCTCTGCTGTCCGCATACTGTCTGCATATCTGAGATTATTCGTTAGTGTTCCGTTAATTGATATGCCTTTATCATATATAGTAACTCTTTAAACATCTCTTCTGGGCACATACTAAAAAATAGAGTGGATAGTACACATCCTTGTCGTACTCCACTCCTTATAGGCGTCTCTTTAAATTTTGTTTATCATATTATAGTAACTCTTTAAACATCTCTTGTGGGCACATACTAAAAAATAGAGTAGATAGTACATACTCCTTCTCGTATTCCACTCCTTATAGGCGTCACTTTAAATTTTTGTTGGTCTACTCGTAATTGAGCTTTCTGATATTGGTATAAATTTATAATGACACCATTCTATGAGTGTTTGTATAGTAAATAATACCTCTCTACTGCACTAGTCCTAGGTATAAGTGATGTACAGTGGACAGAATCAGGAAAATGCACGAATAACAGTGGAACACTTTATTATTCAGGCACCATCAGTTCAACTTATCGTTACGGTGTCGCTGTCCTGGTATCAAAGAAAATCAGTAACTGTGTAACAAGCTTTACTCCCTTCTCTGATAGAATAATGACACTACAACTTCAGTCAAATAAACAAATTATAAATAAAAAGAGGTTAGTCTTTGTAAATGGGTATATTTATTTGTAAATAAATTATAAATAAATATACCCATTTACAAAGACTAACCTCTTTTTGTGATACGTGGTATACAGCCAGCTACAGGAATTTTTTCATTCTGGATTTTGTAAATTATAAATATTATACAAGTATATGCTCCTACGGCTGATAAAGATGATGATGAAATTGAAAGTTTCTATTACGATCTGGAACAAATTCTAAAATCAATGAAGAAACATCATACTACAGTAGTAATGGGCGATTTTAACGCCAAAATTGGACATGGATGTGTGGACGGTTATGTGGGTGACTATGGATTAGGAGAACGAAACGAACGAGGAGACCGTATGGTACAATTTTGTCAAGCGGAGGAGTTAGTAGTTGCTAACACTCTTTTCAAGTTACCTAACAGACGACTGTACACATGGAAATCTCCGAGTGACACCAAAGGTAGAGTAGTCAGAAACCAAATTGACTTTGTCCTTGTTAGTCAAAGATTCCGCAACTCTATACTCTCAGCTAAAACCTACCCAGGAGCAGATATAGGCTCGGATCACAATCCTGTAGTAGTCACATTAAGAATAAAACTAAAGATCATTAAAAAACACATACAGAAACAAATTGACGTGAGAAGACTGAATGAACAACATATAAAAGAGAAAACAATAGTGAACATCAAAGAAAATTTACAAAATATAGAGAAACTGAATAGAAATACTGATAACATAGACCAAAAATGGGAGAATATTAAACATGCCGTAATGTTGGCAGGGAGAGAAAATTTAACACCGAAAGAAAGGAAACATAAAGAATGGATGAATGAGGAAATACTACAGTTGATGCGTGAAAGAAGGGTACACAAAACAAATAATCCGATAAGATACAAAGAAACAGATAAACTGATAAAAAAGAAAATAAGAGAAGCTAGAGAAAGATGGCTAAGTGAGCAATGCCAGGAGTTGGAACAATTGGAGCGAAAATATGACTTTTTTAATGTACACAAAAAGATTAAAGAAATGACAGGAAGGAGAAGAACAACACAGACAGGACAGATCAAAGATACAGATGGTATAATTATAACAGATTTACAACAAAAAATGAACCGATGGACAGAATACATATCACAACTGTTTGATGACAAAGATAGACAAGAAATCTCAAACGAATATACAGATGATACAGGGCCTGATATAATCAGAGAAGAAATAGAATATGCAATCAAACAAGCAAAAAGTGGTAAGGCCCCCGGTCCTGATGAAATTCCCGTAGAACTGCTCAAACTTATGGACGATGAATCTATTAAAATACTCCTAGATCTATTTAACACAATATATAGAACTGGAATAATACCTAGGGAATGGCTCCGTTCGACCTTTATACTACTGCCAAAAAAGGCAAATACAAAGGAATGCAACGAATATCGTACGATAGCTTTGATGAGTCATGCTCTAAAACTGTTCTTAAAAATAATCCATAATAGGATCTATAGGAAATTAGACGTAGACATCAGTAACACTCAGATGGGATTCAGAAAAGGGCTGGGTACAAGGGAGGCTCTGTTTGCAATGAACGTTCTCTCACAGAGATGCTTAGACATGAACCAAGAAATTTACGCCTGCTTTATTGATTTCGAAAAGGCCTTTGACAAAGTACAACATGAACCACTAAGACAAGTTCTAATAAAGAAAAATATAGACAGCCGAGATATTCGAATTATATGCAATCTATATTGGAATCAAACAGCAAATGTCAAGGTTGAGGGCAGACTAACAGAAGAAATTCAAATCCGTCGAGGAGTCCGGCAGGGATGTATCTTATCGCCACTTTTATTTAATCTGTATAGTGAAGCTATCTGTGAACAAGCACTCGAGGAAGAAGATCTTGGTCTGATAATAAATGGTGAGACGATCAACAATATAAGGTATGCTGACGATACAGTTCTCCTAACGGGAACGCTAGTAGAACTACAACATCTCGTTCAAAGTCTCAATATATACTGTAACAGTTACGGCTTGAAAATTAATTTGAAAAAACTAAATTTATGGTAATCACGAAATCAAAGAACATCAGAGCTAATCTTGTAATAGACAATACAACGATTGAGCGTGTGCCCTGTTATAAATATCTAGGTGCTTGGATCACAGACGATACTGATCAAACAAAAGAGATTAGATGTAGAATAGAAATCGCTAGATCAGTCTTTAATAGAATGCGCAAACTCTTTTGCAATCGTGATATCAATATAAAGTTACGAATACGAATGCTGCGGTGTTATGTCTTTTCTACCCTGTTATATGGAGTTGAGGCTTGGACACTAAAACAGTTGACCATAAAAAACATCGAAGCTTTCGAGATGTGGTGCTATAGGCGCATTCTCAGAATATCATGGATGGACCGCGTCACTAACACGCAAGTACTCCAAACTTTAGACAAAAGATGCGAAATTCTAAATGAGATAAAAACTAGAAAGATGGAATACTTGGGGCACATTGTGAGAGGTGAAAAGTACGAACTTTTAAGAAACATCATGCAGGGCAAAATTAAGGGCAAAAGAAGTGTGGGAAGAAGAAAAATATCGTGGCTTCGTAATCTACGTGAATGGTTCGGGTGTAGTTCGATTGAACTTTTTAGGCGCGCTGCTAACAAAGTCGCAGTGGCCATGATGATTTCCAATCTCCGCTAGGAGTGGCACGAGAAAGAAGAAGAAGTGCTAAAGCCTTTTCTAAATCGCAGTTGGTATCATGTATCACTCGCAAGAAGATTTTAAAACATGATTCATCAAGCTAATCGTTCTATATTCTTTACATTTCATTACGTTGGGTTTTTGGGATATTAGGATAAACTCAGACATTAACCATTCTTTCAGAATTTGCCCGGTATAGTAAGTTGCATTGAACAATTCTACTAGTATATCAATGTGGTTCTCTGTTAGCAGTCAAGATTTCTGTAGGTATTTCATTCGGTCCCATAGCTTTATCATTTTTTATACGTTTTAATTATTTTTAATTTCTCCTTTATACTTGACAGTTCACATCTACCTTTTGGTTCTATTGTCACCATTCTTTCGTCGTATTCAAGTAGCTCTGTTATATATTCATCTTTTTTTTTCCTTCTTGTTGTATGTAGACTTTAAAGCCTGTATTTTCTTCAATATTAGTTTGTCCTAAATTGTTTAAACTATTACACCATCTTTTTCATGGTCGGGTAATACTCCTTCGTTCATTTGGTAACTTATCTCGTACTATTCATACTATCCTATCCTCTGTTATTCTACTAATGTGTTCGTTCCACTCAAGTTTCCATTTTGTCACCCATCTGTTTATGTCTTTTATATTGCATGCTCTCTTTATGTTTTCGCTTCTCTCCCTATCTAACAGAGTTTTCCCTGATATTCGTCGGAGTATTTTCATCTCTGTTGTTTCTAGTAGTCGTCTCGTTTTAGATATATCAGATCTTGTCTCTGCCGTGTATGTTAATATCGGTCCAATTGCTGCTTTAGACATTCTTGTTTTTGTGTCTGGTCATAGGTGTTTGTTCTTCCAGATTGTGTCATTA